AGTGTTTTGTAGAAAGATGTGAGAATTACATATCCTCCAACATCTCACCAATGAAAATTGGGATGCGGGTGGCCAAGAAACATCAGAATGAGGACAAAATGGGGAAAGTTCTTAATGACGAAGAACACACCATGTAGGAGAGACAACAGCAATTTGCTTCTGGCCAAGCCTCATGGAAAGGGAAAGAGTTTGGTTCCCATTTATCCTCTCTCTATCCACTGCAGTTAATTATGGCCAAGCTACTTTGCACTTTGATCTGGCTTTGCAGTAACTGAAGAACAACGTAGGAGGAAAAGCAGAGAGATAAATTGAGACATTCTAAAATAAGCTCAAAAAGTGGAATGACAGATGATTTATCCAGATTGTCCTTGCCCAATTGGGATAGTTGGAAGTATGGTGTTGATTGTGCTTGACTGAAAATGCTTACAGTCTTTCCATATCTGAAAAGCCTGATTAGAAGCTTCAGTTGTGGATTTTTAAAGTTGAGTCAAATGTGGACACAAAACCCACATTGAGCTAAATGTGGTTACAAAACCCATTTATGATTATTTATAATTCTATTCACATAGTGTCCCAAACAGTTGCCTATGTATGGAAAACACAACAGCAGAACATAACTGAGTTCACAACTGATGTCTTCCATATCCAATGATTTCTCTAAAGTTCTGATACAAACATCCACCTGGGCAGCCATTACTATATCTTCTTGCAGTAAATAATTTTGTACTCCATATGGTCACCACACCACAAAACCAAAAAATGATTTGCCCTAGTCAACAGCACTACATAGGTTTTGTAGATGTTCTATTGATCATTTCTACACATTTTTAGTAAGGTAAAGGTAAAGTTTTCCCCCCAACATTAAGTCCAGTTGTGTCAGACTCTGGGGGTTGGTGCTCATCTCCATTTCTAAGCCAAAGAGCTGGAGTTGTCCATAGACACCTCCAGGGTCATGTGGCTGGCATGACTGCATGGTGCACCGTTACCTTCCTGCCAGAGTAGTACCTACTGATCTACTCACATTTGCATGTTTTTGAACTGCTAGCTTGGAAGACGCTGGTGCTAACAGTGGGAGCTCACGCTGCTCTCTGGATTCAAACCTGCGACCTTTCAGTCAACAAGTTCAGTATCTCAGCACTTTAACCCACTGTGCCACTGGGGTTTTTGGCCCTTTTTAAGGTCTATCCAGGAATGTCCCAAAGGAAGAGTAATGGTGCCTTCAAAACTGCCAGTTGTCAACATTGCTGGTGCCAAGAAAAGTCTGCAGTTTTACATGGGCCCAAAGACTTAATGCAACACAAACAAAAGCAAGAGATTTATATGTGGTGTGAATGCCTATCACTTTGATTTTTATCATTTTGATTCCACACATATACAACAGTGCTTATTCAAGACTGCACCATTGGTTTTATAGCATAATAATATGTGGGAGAGCTTAAAAATTGTGACTCCCCCACCCTCCGTTTCAAACACTAAAAGAAACCTCACCATCCTGATAAACTGGTGTGTGGACCAGGGCCATTCTTAAACATGGAAATAAGGCCATTTGGTTTAGTCATAGTAAAGCAAATAAATAATGGCTGGAATGTGGTTGAGACATAAAATAAAGCAGTGAATCAGACTTTACAGTTCAAAGAAAAATAATCTGGTTTGTCTGACCTTTCCCACATCTTCCTGCTACATAAATGCTTTTTCATAATAGCGGTGTCTTAGAGACATCTGGCTAGATAATACTTAAAGAATAAAGATACATATAGATCAATTTGTATGTATAGTGAAAACTGGACAGTGAAGGAAGATAAGAGAAAGATCAACCTACTGGAAATATGGTACTGGAGGAGCATTCAGCAGATGTCTTTAACCTACCAAAACGACATGAATGGTTCCTACAGCATATGAAGTCTGGATTTTCACTAGAATCCAAGATCACTAACTTGAAAATGTCAGACTATGGATGTATCAAGAGATGATGTGGTTCACTGGAAAAGACTAAAATGCCTGGTAAAGTGGAAAACACATTCCAGCAATGATTTATGGCTGATGGTGTTGCCTGAAATGTTCACTGTAAGATTCCTACTGAGCTCCAACAATGGCATGTATCATCTTCCCTCTTATTATGATCCTGGTGTCATCTCTGCAGGACATTTTAAAAAGCACCGGCAGATTGAAAGGAGGCAACAATTTAATTAAAGATTTAAAAGGGAAAAGGTCTCTTACCAGTCCTGTACCCAGTGTTGTTGAGATACACTGCAAAAGTACGTGGTTCATGTGTTGCTTGCCAGGAAGGTGAAGAGCAATTCTCATTGTTAGTGTAGATATTGTGGTTGTGCACATATTTGCCTGTCAGCATTGAGGAACGTGATGGGCAGCACATTGGAGTAGTTACAAAGGCATTGACAAAAGTGGCACCTCCACTCTCCATTATCTTCCTGGTTTTATTCATCACTTGTAAGGAACCTAAGCAACAGAAACAGCTGTATTAGTAACAATTATTATTATCAATGAAACCTGTTTGAATAGATGCAGAAGAACACAAATGTCACTAAATCAGACTTCTCAACTATAGTGAAATGTATTTTATCTTATCTTATACTATAGCCAATGGCCCATATTGCTGTTGACAGTGACATGAAAATACTCCATGTAGGATAATTCATCCATATCTTCCACCACACAACATGACAAATCTACTGTGCAGAGGCTATTTCAAGTGGCTTCTACATGGGGCTACGACTTGCAAGATATGTAAATATCAACATATGAGCATGAAGTGGCCCAACAAACTGAAATAATTAAAAAAATATGTCAAATAGAATTTTTAAAGTATATGTAATTTATGAATTCATCATGTGTTTTGAGAAACACATTGCTGACAAAGAATCAGGATTTTGGATTCACAAAATCAGGTACACATCCCCTCAGTCTAGGTTCATTTGCAACATACAATATAGAGAGCTTAATAAATTAAGGCCCACACCTGAATGGAACTAGAATGATGAGCAATAATAATGTGTGCTTCTCTGTTTTTGTTTGGCAGGTTTGAGAAACCTTCAGTCCTGACAATCTGACTTGTATGAGTTACTTGGATGATGTTAGAGGAAGCTTTTCAAACTCTTGCTTCGCTAGAAATCAGTAGATCCACATTTACATCTCATAGTAATCATAGTTGATGAATTATCAATTAAGCCAAAGCAGTAATACTTAAGATTACACAATAGGTGCTCTTTTCCTACGGCTTCATTCTGCTCCGGACATTTATGGTATGCTGAGTTATCAGCCTAGCTACAACAGTGTATTGTTGCAACTTTCTGCATCAGCAAATCAATAAACAGTAAACTAGAAAAGATCCATACTCTTTCTTTTCAAATTAGTTGTGTGCTTGTGCAGCAAGTCCACAGCAAGGCATCATTAATAATACTTCACACAGCTGCTGATATTTAACAACAACCAGAGACTGGAGGCAAAACTTCAGGAGAGAATGCTTCTGGAACATGGCCATATAGCCCGGAAAACTCATAGCAACCCTATCATTCCAATGTTTATTTGCCTGCAGTTACAGTTACATTGGGCTAAAAACCACATGCACTGATAGTAAACTCATACTTCAACTCAGGTGATGGGACAATGCCCTCTATTTCCTTTGGGAACATCAGACTACTTGAAGAGAGTATAGGGCAAGCTGTGTCACACACAGTGCTCTCCTTAATAAATGAGTATGGCCAGAGGACTCAGGAAAATGGTTGGAAGGATACTATTCCTACTCCAGTATTTACCACCTGAAGCAGTTGTTCCACTCTGCTTAAAAGTCGGACCAGCCCTGGAAGTATTTGGCTCCCTTAACTTCAGACATTCAAGAAATGTGCTTGAAGGCTATGAGCCTTGAAGCAACAATGGAGGTATCTAAAGACATGAAGCTCATGCAGGCACCAATACACGTAATGGCAACAACAGGAAAATAAGTTAGAAGAGGAGAGGATGGAGAACAAACCATACAACTAAAGCAGTGGTTCTCAACCTGTGGGTCCCCAGGTATTTTGGCCTACAACTCCCAGAAATCTTAGCCAATTTATCAACTATTAGGATTTATGGGTGTTGAAGGCCACAGGTTGAGAACCAATGATCCAAAGAGACAATGAGATCTAACTGTTTTCAGTATACAAAGAGTCCAATGGAGAACACTTCCTTTAGTTTGAGCAGCAAGATTCAAGTAGGGATTCCCATCAAAATCTTTGCTTAGTTCTATAATGTTCTGAATGAGGCTCTATCTTGCCAAATTAGGTCTACTAATGTATATTTTTTTGAAAAAAAGCTTCAATGTAGCCTTTCTGGTAGTTATATGAGCTTGTTATTAATGTATATAAATTACGGGAAATTAAGATTACTAATGTAAATAGGGAATATATCGTCTATGTTTCAAATGTGAGAAATCTCCCTATAAAAACAACACATAATTAGCAAAATTAACTGCTGTTGACAGCAGCTTCCTGCTTTTCCAAATAGAACTTTCTCCACATAGTTTTAGAAAATGCTTCACTTAATTAGAGGTAGCTGAATGTTAACCTATATTGACTCTGCAATGGATCTCGGACTCTATGAAGGCGTATCACATGAAATGCAAAAATTAAATTTCTTCTGTTTTCTTGGAATAGGCTTCCCAAATCTGTCAAGTATGCATGAGAATGTGTAAGAAACCCAAAGTCCTGAAAGGTTATTTATGGGAAAGAAAGTGATGCAAGTCATAACAAACTTACCCAGCTCCACATCTTGGTCATCTGTGAGTACCAGGATAATGTTTGGTCTAATATTTTTTCGCTCTTGCTGCACACGTCCTCTGAACCGCGGAGCTTTGACAGTAGTGCTGAGGCTCTTTAGCAGTTCAGTGCCAAGCACAGTCCACACAAATGCAATATAATAATGATTCATTGTTATCTGTTCACTGCTGCAATAAAGCCCTTGTGCAAATGCTTCTGTTCCTTAATTTTCAAACTCTGTAAAAGGACCTAGGTGGGAAAGGAAAAATAGAAAATCTCACCTCTTAGGTAAAGTAACAATACATTGGCAAAAGCCACAAGGAGAAAGAGCAATAGTCCAATTAAGGTAAACTGAATCAAAATTCAATGTATGTAGTAGTAAATTCTGTTCAAGTAAAAGAGTCTGATTAAATATGTTTATGGACAGCGCAATTTGGGTTGTTGTAAGTTGTAGGTGACCTCACAATCTCTGAGGATGCCTGCCATAGATGCAGGCAAAATTTCAGGAGAGAATGCTTCTAGAACATGGCCATACAGCCTGAAAAACCTACAACAATCAATTGATTCCAGCCATAAAAGCCTTCGACAGCAAAATTTGCTTTTGTAGTTTGGACGTCTTCTTTCAAAATGACGTGTATATCCTTTTTTGGTATTTGGCACAACTAAAACTTGTGCGCCAGCTGTGCCCATACCTTGGGAAGGCTGACTTGGCCACGGTAGTCCATGCTTTGGTTACATTCCGTTTAGACTACTCCAACGCTCTCTACGTGGGGTTGCCTCTGAAGACTGCCTGGAAGCTGCAGCAAGTACAACATGCGGCAGCCAGATTACTAACGGGTGCTGGGTACAGGGAGCACACCACTCCGCTGTTACACCAGCTCCACTGGCTGCCAATTAGCTTCCGAGCACAATTCAAAGTGCTGGTGTTAACCTATAAAGCCCTAAACGACTCCGGCCCGGTTTACCTCTCCGAACGTATTCTCCCCTACGAACCATCAAGATTACTAAGATCGTCTGGAGGGGCCCTGCTCTCGGTCCCACCGGTCCCACAAGCGCGGCTGGTGGGGACGAGGGACATGGCTTTCTCGGTGGTGGCCCCGCGACTCTGGAACTCTCTCCCACCAGAGGTTAGAACCGCCCCAACAATCCTGACATTCAGGAAACAGGTGAAGACGTGGTTATGGAGACAGGCTTTCGAAGAATGAGACAATGACTTGGATGGAAGATGGTGTATATTCGATTTTAGTGTGACGACTGACCACTGTAGTTTTAAATATATGTGCTTTTTAAATGTTTTATTGTAATGTGTATTTTGATATTTTACCGATTGTATGTGTTTTTATGGTTGGAAACCAGGCTGAGTCCCTCTTATGAGGTGAGAAGCTCGGTATATAAAACTTTGAAATAAAATAAATAATAAATTTCTCCTACATTGTAAGAGTATCTGGGCTATTTTAGTTTTGTTGTTTAACTGTTTCTAATAGATACTACAATTTTGTTTACTCTCACTTTTAAGATAATACCTACTAAATCTGACAGAAGTACTAATTTGCCTACTAAAAGCTTTCAAATAGCACAGTTTTAAACCTGTCTACTCAGAAGTAAATGCCACTTACAGTTCTTTAGTTATTGGGTTGTAGGTTTTTCAGGCTATATAGCCATATAGCCTGAAAAACCTACAACCCAGTGATTCCAGCCATGAAAGCCTTAGACAATACACATTAGTTATTCTTATTACGACTTAACCAGCCATACCATTGCAACTTAAAAGAACTCTCAGTCATGCACACGTGCAACTGCTTACTTCTCTAATGAAAAAGCAAACTTTTCATGGAGCATGCTGAACACCCATTCCTGATAGCAATGAAAGTGAGAAGTCAGTTAAGTTTTCCTCTGCTAATATACTCAGTTTAAAGGAGAGTATATTATTACAAGACTAAGGTTTTCTTAAAGGAGGGGGGCAGCGAAATTAATTTGCTTCACTTGTATTGCATTCCTAGAAGATTATAAAAATAGCAAATGCTCACATCTGAATCTCAGGGAACCAGAAAACAGCAGAGATGTTTTAGATTAACACACTTGCACTTGCTAGGCAAAGAGCATGGAACGGATGAGTTGGTTGTAACCTGCACTTAACAGTATTTTGATGTTACTCTGCTTCTATCCTGCAAGTTCACAGAGAGCTCATTTTAAGTGACAGTGCAGATGATCTTAACCAGCCCTGTGAAAGGCCAGATGGTGATATCCCTCATCAATCAGCAATGGGACTAAGTAAATCATCCACAATGCACAGCAAACTCCAGTCTCCATTTCCAGATTTGGCTCACTGAACCTACCAGAATCACTTTGGCAGCAACTGTCAGTCAAACAGCCTTGCTATTAAGAGCCTCAATTCAATCTCAGGAGGAGTCCCCCCCCACCCCCCCATCACCAGAGCAGATCTAAAAACCCCAAGCCAAATGATTGATAGGCCCAGTGACTAAAAAGGTTAGCCTTTACTTTCTCGTTCTGTGGCCTGTTGACAGAAGCTCCACCACGAGGGTAAGAAGAATGCAATAACACTAGCTTAATTTAGGACTCAATTACTTATATCTCAAAACAACATCATGAAATCTTGATGGTAAACAGTTTGAGAATGTTTGTTCCCTGGGAAAAAAGGCTATCTGGAAAGGGGGTGACACCAGCGGTTAATGAGAATGGGACACTAACTCATCAGGCTGGCATTACTCCCACACCTGAGACTTCATATTTAGGCATGCAACATTAACCAGTTAGAGATAAATAAGCAGAACTAATTAAATGGAAGCATAGCATAACAGAAAAGGAAGGGGGTTGGTGGCCTGGAATGATCCCATCACTCAATATAAAACACAAAAGGAAGATATGACTCCTTAGGGAGAAGTTTGATACACGGGGTACATTTGCAAAAGAATATGTTTGCAGAGGCTTTTCTTCCTCTTTTTAGACACACCCACTGCTTGAAGCTTCCCGACAAAATCATGCACTTCACTCAATGGGTGATAATAGCACTAGGGGAGTGCTTCAGGAAGGCATTTTAAAACAAAACCCCAAGCGTCTGTAAGCAAAGAAAGGCTGACCCCATTGTCTAGGCGCAAACATTCCGGATCTCTGATTGACATTACAACAACCTAAAGGCAGGATGCCGGAAGATTCGGCATTCTCAGTTAAATGCCATTGCCCTGACTGCGTGACATTCCGATAAGCAGGACTGGAAGTCAGTAATTAGTCGGAGTTGGATTGTTTTCTTCTTCAGAATGTTTTGGCTTTTCAATTCATTTGCTACAGCTTACATATGATAGATGATGCTGCAGAACAGGATGACTAGCTAAATACGTGTTTTCTTGTCTGGTTCAAGTTCTACTGCCTACACTTATTGCAAAAGCTAAACAGGCATTCTCTTTGGGCTTCTTTTTCAAGACTAAACCAAAATTTAACTCTTGCAAGTATGTTTTTGCATCAGTTTTACACTGTCTAGAAAAAAAATCCAGATAAGATCTTTCAGAGAAGTCAGCCATACCTATATAGGTAAGTACGTATAGGTCAATCTCATGTACAAGTCAAGAACAGGTTTGCGGGCCAGGTTTGATGTGATCCCTAAATAAGTCAAGGATCTGGGGTTTTGTAGGTTATTCAGGCTATATGGCTATGTTCCAGATGCATTCTCTCCTGATGTTTCGCCTGCATCTATGGCAAGCATCCTCAGAGGTTATGAGACCTCACAATCTCTGAGGATGCTTGCCATAGATGCAGGCGAAACGTCAGGAGAGAATGCATCTAGAACATGGCCATATAGCCCAAAAAACCTACAGCAATCCAGTGATTCCAGCCATGAAAGCCTTCGACAATAAGTCAAGGTGCATTTCACACAAAGGGGAAAGCACCAGTGCCAACACAGAGGGCCAGCCACCTCTGGCCTCTGACACAATTTTCCTGCCCAGGCATTTGAAAAGGCCAGGAGCAGTGCCATGATGAAGAGGACAGAGTGGTCAATGCTTCTTTTAGGTCAGCGGTTCTCAATCTGTGGGTCCCCAAATGTTTTGGCCTTCAACTCCCAGAAATCCTAACAGCTGGTAAACTGGCTGGGATTTTTGGGAGTTGTAAGACAAAATACCTGAAGACGCAGAGACTGAGAACTATTGCTTTAGGTTCTCCTGGGATTAACTAAACTCTTGCCTTTATTTCCATTCAGACCCCTTCTATACTGCCCTAAATCCTAGGATCTGATCCCAGATTACCTGCTTTAAACTGGATTATATGAGTCTCTAGGATTAGATCCTGGAATATAGGGGCAGTGTGGAAGGGGCTTGAGAGAGTTAAGATATAGCACTCAGCTTGACCCATGGATAACCAAGGTTTTGGAGATTGATTTTTTAATACATTCCTAGACATAAATGAGTGTATAAGGTAGATAAATGCAATGCGCAAGATGTCTGAACAATATCAGCATTGGCTTGAGGCTTTGGAAAATCCTCGGAAAAATAGCCTTTTGTGAGTCAGCAAGGTGAGGTGGTTTGTGTGTGGGGGCTAGGGCTCTAGACAGACGACATGGTTCAAATCCTTGTTCAGTCATGGATTTTCAAGTCACACTCACAGTCTCAGAGCAAGACCATGGAAAACCAACTCTGAACAAATCTTGCCAAGCAGTTTCTTAGTTGTACTATACTGTGCTTTTAAGGGGGTGTTTATCACCTTGAATCCTTGCTGGGAGAAAGGCGGGATATAAATACAATACAAAGGAACTTGGCTTTTATTTCTTTCACTCTCTTCCTTAACACACATTTTCATTTGCTCATTGTGGCTCTTTTACTATATTTTTGTTCCCATCATCCTTCATTCTTTGTAGTCCCCACCCAATGAAATTACATCAGAAGAATGTAATGTAAGAAGTTAAGCAGTGGGAGAGATGCAAGTTGCCAGTCTCTGATCCAGAAAGACCCTTCATAGTAACTGCTATTTACAATAATAGACTCCCATAGGTTTAGCTCATCTTCTGCATGCCCAGTGTGGAACACATCTCACCATGCTAAAACAGTAGATGTGGCTCTTAATGAAACATGCTGCATCATCACAGGGTGTCTGTGCCCTACACCACTGGAGAAATTACACTGTTTAGCTGGTATTACACCACCTGACATCCACCGGGAAGTAGCAACCAATAGTGAAATGACCTAGGCAGTGACATCTCCAGCTCATCCCGTTTGGATATCAGCCAGCACATCAAATAGTTT